CCTTTATTTTTGCTCGCGATTAATTATGCGAGGGCTGCCTTTGCCTCAATTAAGCCGCGTTTCCATCGTTCGCGCAAATGTCAGGATCGTCGCGCGGCCCGAGGGTTGGCGAGGGTGAAAGAAGGTAAAATAGCATTGCGAAAGACTTTTATCCCTCGTTAAGGGATGACGACGGTAACCCTCGCAATTATAGGAACCACCCTTTCGACAAACTTGATGGGGTGCAGTCGCGAACCCTTCGAGGAAAAATTTGTACGCCGTCAGGGGCGGAGGATTCGTGGCTAACCTCCCCCGTTTTATCAAAGGATTCAAACTCGCTCATGGGTTCCTTTTTTTTTTTTCTGTTCGTACCGAGTTTCTGGCTTCTTTCAAACGAGAAGAATAACCCTGAACGTATCCGGTTATTGTCTTGCTCGGTTTTCAAACGTCGAATTTATTGAGAATTCATCCGATAGCTCGGGTTGAAATTAGAAGGGTTAAAAATAAAAGAAATTAGTATAAAATATTTATTTTAGAAAAATTTAATTTAAGAAAAGAATTAGGCCGATAGCTGCTATAGTTTCCGAGATAATATTTTATAACACTTTATCAAACTCACCCTGTATATTCGATGTTATTATCAAAATATTAATTATTATTTAGTAGTTTTATTATTGGCACGTGTGTACACCCAGATGTCTCGGACACACTTAGGGTGGCTCGGTTTAATGCACACTTTTTTTGCACACTTTTTTCGAAAGCAGCACCCTTCGCAAAGGGTTGCAACTCGACTGGACACATTACAAATGTCATAACTCATTGACTCATCGAAGTTGTTGGAACAAACACTGGGAAAGTTAACACATGCCCCTTGGACAAGCAGTAATGGCTCGAAATTAACCCCTTGATCGTAGTTCAAAGAATTTGCACCCTCTGCGTCGCAGGATATTTACACTCGTGAAACGAAGTACGAATAACCATCGACAGACTCGAGAAATTAAAATAGATATACATTTCTTATTTATCAGAAAAATTGTATGGAACCCGTTCGTAGTTGATCGATCTGAATTGGCAAGCATCAGCTGTCTTCGCAAGGAAATTATTCAGTCTTCGATGGGTTTAAAGAATTGTATCTCTCATCTGGTAATTCTATGACGTTCATACGAGGCTCGATCGTGTCTGGTATTGTCCGTGAAGAAAATAAAGGATGAGAGGATGATGGTATTCGTGACGTTGAGGGGGTGCATTGTACCACGAAAGGGTGCATCGGCCCAGATCGCGTTGCATTTCGCATTCACTCGGCTATAATAAGGATTCGACGTGGCTCCCTTTTCTTTTCTCAGGAAATAACCGTGCAAAGGTCCGTTTTGGCAGCCGGCTAGGTAAAGGGGTTCAAGAAACTACACGACGATTGCAAAAATTAATTTATTACACGTTTTCTTTTTTAACCAACATCGACTTCAATCTACCCGGTGTCTTCGCGTTTCTATGTCATTATTTTCAGCTGAAGTAAATATTGGGTATTGTACGGTGGACATGAAATTGATCGGCACCTGCTGCTTCGTTGTAAATACGAGCGAGCGTTGTATCGAGGTGGCTTGCATACCTCAAATGACTCGAGGAGAAAGGCTTTTTTTACAACCATCTGTTTGTTAAGCTCGTAATAACGACGAGCACGAGCCTGCTTGCGAAGTACATCGATTTGCTGCTTCTTCATTTATCCAGAATGTGATTCATTTATTTTAATATGCGTATAATTACCCTGTATAATACACAGGGGATATTTAATCATTCCTGCCGATAGAATTGATAGATTGAATGATAAAACAAGTAGATCAGCGACATTTCATGACATAAAAGTGTCACGAAATGACACTCATTATATATCAAATGAAAGCTTAAAGTTCTCTGAAACTTGCTATATAAATGATTCATCGGTAATTATAATACAAAATGGCTGATTGCCAATTCTAGCAAGCGATGATCAATTCTGAGATACTTTCAGTCTGATACAATTTCATGACATAAAAGTATTTTAAAATAATACTTACCTTATATGAAATTGAAGCTTAAAGTTTATTGAATACGACCATATAAACGTTTTATTAATATTCTTTATCTAAATTGATTGTAAGAGAATACAAAGTGTCGTGGCTGCTGGAGTAATTCTTGTACACGTCCCAGACGGTTTTGAAGTATATAATTTTAATGATTAATAATTGCGAGTCCTTACAGTGCCTTCGGTCATTTTGCACGGCACACGACATTTCTCTTGGTGTGGAACGCTGACACGCGCCTGCCGCGGTATTGTCGCGTGGCTCAAAGAGCCAGCCGAGATGGAACAAGAGGAAAGATATCGATGAACCACGGAACGGATAAAGATGAAAAGGTCTCGGAGCGGTTAAGGAGAGAGTTGAAGAGAAGCGGATAAGTCGCCACCTGCCACGAATGGGCAGATGTGCCGGGTCCAGTGACTACAGATACAAAAAGACCAAGAAATTATTAAAATAATTGTTTGTCAAACTTGTATTCACATCATACGCCTTGATAAATAAATCATTTTAAAGCAGCAACTGTGTTATCATCTAATTTACTGAATTTCCATTCCGAATTATTTAGATAATTTACTTAATTTCGATCAAACTTAAATTAAAGCGAAGTATTTACTTCTCAATATGAAAAAGACCTAGAACGAGGTGAACCCTAGTCAGTCTTATAGCGACCGCCGAGGGATACGGATCTACCTGTCAGACATAGGTATACCTTTAATTTATTTCCTCAGTTTATTTAATGCATTTTATTTATTTTCTTAGCTTATTATTTAATAAGCGTACAAGGGGGATGAAATTTATGATTCTATCCCTCTTGTGGGCTTCGTCTGATCATCCATTTTATTTATTATTTTATTCCTCTTTATGGGTCAAGATCCACCCGTGCCTGGTATGTATTATTTTTATAATACACTTATAGGCCTCGTAGGAACCGCCACATTTCAATTATTTATTATTTTATCCCCCTTTATGGACCTTGCGAAGACCACCCCTGTATCTCTGTACCACTTATATCCCTGTGTCCATGTATTCCTTACATCCCTGTATCACTGTATCCTGTATCCTGTGTCCCTGTATTCCTCATATCTCTGTATTCTTTATATCCTTGTACCTCTTATATCTTAAATCCATACATCCTTATACCTTACATCCTTTATACTTTACATCCTTATACCTTACACCCTTTATACCTTACATCCTTGTACCTTACATCCTTGTACCTTACATCCTTTATACCTTACATCCTTGTACCTTACATCCTTTATACCTTACATCCTTATACCTTACATCCTTGTACCTTACATCCTTGTACCTTACATCCTTGTATCTTACATCCTTTATACCTTACATCCCTGATATCAGCGCCCTCTGGTTTCGGAAAAAGGAACTAAATCATGCCGAAATTTTGGCCCTCTGGCGGGAAAAATGTGAACTAAAATCTCGACCTCGAGTCAGCGCCATCTGGTTTCGGAAAAAGGAACTAAACCACGCACCATTTTTGGCCCTCTGGCGGCAAAAATGTGAACTAAAATCTCGACCTCGAGACAGCGCCACCTGGTTTCGGAAAAAGGAACTAAACCATGCAACAATTTTGGCCCTCTAGCGGGAAAAATGTGAACTAAAATCTCGACCTCGAGTCAGCGCCATCTGGTTTCGGAAAAAGGAACTAAATCATGCAGCAATTTTGGCCCTCTAGCGGGAAAAATGTGAACTAAAATCTCGACCTCGAGTCAGCGCCATCTGGTTTCGGAAAAAGGAACCAAATCATGCAGCAATTTTGGCCCTCTAGCGGGAAAAATGTGAACTAAAATTTCGACCTCGAGTCAGCGCCATCTGGTTTCGGAAAAAGGAACTAAAGCATGCAGCAATTTTGGCCCTCTAGCGGGAAAAATGTGAACTAAAATTTCGACCTCGAATCAACGCCCTCTGGTGGCAAAAAAGGGAACTAAATTTGTAACGATTTCTTACTCAAAAAGAGCTTACATCGATACAGGAATATAAGGAATAAAGAGATATAAGGGATGCGGAGATGTAAAGGGTGCAAAGATGTAAGGGATGTAAGGATATAAAGAAAGCAAGGGTGTAAGGAATGCAGGGGTATAAGGGTTGCAGAGGTGTAAAAGAAGTAGAGGTGTAAAGGATGCAGGGATATAAAGACAGTAAGAATGTAAGGAATGGAGGGGTATAAGGGATGCTGAGATATAAAGGTGTAAAGATGTAAGGGATGCAAGTATATAAAGAAAGCAAAGGTGTAAGTAATGCAGGGGTATAAGGGTTGCAGAGATATAATAGAAGTAGAGGTGTAAAGGATGCATAGATATAAAGAAAGTAAGAATGTAAGGAATGGAGGAGTATAAGGGATGCTGAGATGTAAAGGTGCAAAGATGTAAGGGATGCAAGTATATAAAGAAAGCAAGGGTGTAAGGAATGCAGACATCTAAGGGAGGCAGGGATATCAAGAATTCAGGGATGTAAGGTATACAGTAATGTAAGTAATACAGGGATGTAAGTGGTGTAGGGATGTAAAACCTAACCTCTCTTTTACTGCTACCATCCAGTTCGGTGATCCTGGGATTTCAGGATCACAGGAAGCAGCCGAGAAACGGGGATGGCGTTGTTACCAAGTGAATGTATTAAGGGTGGTAGGAGGCTCGACAGATGTTGAAAATTTCAGAGCCAAGAGAAGGAGCAGCAGAGTGAAAGAAAGAGGACTGGGAATAAGGTCGGAGGGAGAGAAAAGGGAGTGTGTGTTGCATGCATGCAAGCGAGGACGGTGAAGCTGTTGGCGAGAAAGGAATGGAACATCGTGGCGCGTGGCTATACCGGTACGATGGAAGGGATAAATACAGGGTGTAGGAGACACTTAAGACGATGATGACGATGACGGGAAGAAGGAGGAGGAGAGAAGGAGATTGAGGTGCACTTTAGAAGTCGGGGAGCATTGAACTGTCCTTTTATTTTTCTGGCTGCATCATTCGGGGAATGGAGAGAAGATTTGGACAATAGTGTAATTAAAGAAATTTTTAATTGAAAAATATAGCGAATGATTGAAACAATTTTATTAAATGTACAATGTACAATGTATCAAGTTTGAACTTAATAAAAAACTTATTTTCTAAATTATTTTACGTTTACAATTTTCTTCTTCCCTTCCACTTTTCCCTCTCGGTTTACCTCGATATACACGGAATCCCTTTCACCTCTGGTAGCCGGTACGAACGTTTTCGAAATACCAGGAGATATTGTTACGAGATAAAAAGCTGTCGGGCATCGTATGGGTACCGTTCGCCGATCATTACCAGCTGACACTGTTTGGCACGTGCCAAGCTGCTCGTGAACAGAGTTGCTTCTTTCCACTTTATTAACGGGGCCATGTTGCGTGACCGCGTATTGTCCGACCGATAAAAATCATTTTAGGGAGGGAAAAAAAAAACACGATTCTCGATTAACCTAATTTATCAGCCAATTCGCCTGGATACTTGAACCATCTTCTTTGTGCCGCCGGTCGGAAGACAATAGGATCGTTCGTTGCCGAGTGACCAGTGTCCATTGTCGTCCATGGGGTTCCAATGGCTCACCGTTTGTTCCTGAAGTCGTAAACATCCGGACAATCGATCTTAACGATCCGTTAATTTTATGGTCTAACAGCAATCGTTGGTTTTCCCATCGGAAAGCAACTGATGGACTTCAAGGATTGGTCATTCTGATGGGACATTCTGTCGGGAAGATGTCTAGATGAGTAGGAGAGTCGACGAGGGGCTTATTCATGTTAGATCGTTTATTTTGGAAAGATAAATGGATGATTTTGTCATTGGATATTTGATCCTCTAACAGAGAAATTTAATTTTCTGATATTCTATAAGAAATGACCCACTAAAAATTCTAAATCACGAAGATATATGTTATACAGGAGAGTCAGATAAAGTGTTACAAATTATTATCTCGGAAAATATAGTAGTTATCGGTCTAATTCTGTTTTTAAATTATAAACAATTTTATATTATTATATATTATAAAGTATAAACAATTTTTCTAAAATGGCTACCATGGGGTCAGAATAAATCGACGTTATAATTTAAAAAAAAATTTTCATACACCACGTAATCGTACATTTAATTAAAAAAAAAAAACTAGGTCAATAGCTATAGTCTCCGGAATAATAGCTTGTAACACTTTATCTGATTTACCCTGTATATCATCCGTAACGATATCAAAGATCCAAGACGACCTCACGATGGATGAATTGTAAAGAAAGGGAGAATAAAAACGGTAGCACTGTCGTTACCTGAAAAATGTCAGGATCCTGATCTCGGTTTTTCCGCTTCATTGACCGGAGGATCTTCGAGGCACGTGGTGCACAGATTTCGGCTCCTTCTTTCGAACAAAGCCAAAGGACACCAGACACGTTTTCAGTTGTTGAAGAAGCCAGTGCAATGCACCGCAAGGTTTCAGGTACCTTTCGAGTCTACCTGTCGTTGAGAATGTTCCCTAATTAATATTTTGTCGAAGTAGAATTTTGGAAATGAAATAAATTTTGAAACTACCCAAATAATAAAAATAGAATTTTTCAATAAAATAAAAATAAAATAAATTTTGAAACCACCTAAATAATAAAAACAGGATTTTTCAATAAAATAAAATATCTCTTAATCGAGCAAATTCATTAAAACAAGATTTTCATCCACTTCTCCAGAGTAAGCTAAAAAAAAGAGAGAGAAAAAAAAACTGTCACGAACAGGGAGCCCCCATAAGCCACGGTGGACTTTGAAGAAACCAATGGAAAAAAAAAGGGGTTTACCGAAGAGGGTGACGGCTTCTTCCGCAGAACGAACGGACATGACGTTTTCTTCATCCTCGTTGACCCCTTGTTTCCCCCTTTATCCGTCGGGGGTGGGCACGGGGGTAGCATAAAGTGGGTGGATGAAATGAATGGGATATATGTTGTGAGCGGTTCGGTTCAGTATTGTTGATCGAACAATGGCGTCTGGCTTGTACGCGGCGAGAGACCCCAGGAGGCAGCTGACATTCTCTGACTACGAGGAAGAGCACCTCCACCTGGCAACAACCGCTTAATGAAATTATCTTGAACAAACTGGATCATTGTTCCATATTCTTATAATATTTCCAACGATTCAGATATTTTTTTTAACCCTTTTACTGCTGAGTACTCTAGGCTTAAACATTGTATTTGTACGAAATAAGAATTAAATCAATAACAGTTTTCATTTTATTTTTTTTAAAATTTTATTTCATTATTGAATTTATTTTTTCATCTTTTTTTCCATTGTTTTATCACATTATTATAATCTCATTAAATATGGTGTGTAATTAGTAATATGCTTTGATAACTTTTATTTAATTATAATTAAGATATACAAGAAAAAACCTTTATAGCAGTAAAAGGGTTAATAATAATTACCTATTGTTACTGTTACGTACTGAAAACTGGACCCGGATGGACACTTGTAATAAAATTATACACTGGATGCCTTCAAACACCTTTATACTCTGAGTTCAACTATGACCGTTCGCCTCGAGCTCCTGACTCGAAATGAAAGACAAAAACTTATTTACTATATGGAATGTTCGTTCGACTTGACGCGCGGTTGAAATTTTGAACTTGTGAAATTGCGGCTGTGTATATGTCAATAAAATTTAATTAGATTTTATTAATTTATTATTACGTATGTAAATTATAATTTATATTTTTATAAATAAATATCTGATTCAATTTTATTCTAATATTAATAAAATTTATATTTTTATAAATAAATATCTGATTCAATTCTATTCTAATATTAATAAAATTAATATTTTTATAAATAAATATCTGATTCAATTCTATTCTAATATTAATAAAATTAATATTTTTATAAAAATATCAATTATAATTATCCTAAATTAGTTCAGTAATACTCACGGATGGTAATTCATTATATAACAAAGAGAATTTTATAATAATATCTCGATCCTTGTTAAGAGTTAGTCTGGTTAAAAATGATATCGTGAGAAGAAGTCATCGAGCTCGGCAAGTTGTCAAATTGTGTTACCATCATAATTACACAATTATGCAAATTGCACGGGATGGAAGTTGGCAAAGGTAGACACCCTTTGTTCGAGAATTAAGGATCCTCTTTTGAAGAACCCTCGAACTCTTTAATTATGTAGCAGAAACGGTGCTTCGTCGTATCCTCTGCAACCTGTTACTCCTGTGCAACCTTTTATAAGCTATTATCTGACAAAGAAGAGGTGCCATCAAATGGGGCCCCTTAAAAATTGATAGAAGGCGGGGTCCTCGAATAAAATCATCAATTTCGTTATCGACTGCTCTTCGACGGTTATTATTCGTCTACGATCTCGCAAACGAGGCCACTGGTGGACTATTACTTTTACTAAGTTGAATAGAAAAATGTGATAAACTCCGAGGGTAGTAAAATTATAATTTTTTCGAATAGGAAGTTACACTGTTCACAAATGGAAAAAAAATTAGAAGCTATCAATTATAAGAATTAAAAGCTAGAAAGGGCAACGTTCACCCTCTAATAAAACATACATACCCTCCAAAAGATTGATCGTGGAGATGTTTAAACATCCGTTAATGTATCGAATTTCCAAACTGCATCATGCAGGATGGTTAATGAAACAAAAAAAAGGCTACTTCCTGTCGATAAGCCACGTGGCTACTCGGTTACTCTACAAACTTCATTGGAGTAGAGGTAGCAGTTGCCTCGTCGAAAAGGGAGGGTTCGATAGACAGCTGATATCACGCGAAAAATTTAATCCCACATAATTATCACAAACTTCATTTTCCATAGATAAAAAGAAAATATATGAAAGCTGAAATATATAAAATAAAATAAAATAAAATAAGTCTTTCTTCACGCTCAACTTCTGGCAGACATCTGTGTTCCTTCTGTATGATCAGTGCTCGCCAAAATCAATGGGTTCAATCCGGAGACTATTGTAACCACCTCAAACACCTGGGATTTTCACGGAGAGAATCTCTAGGGTCAAATTGACACCTGGGTACCACATGCTGAAATTCTGCTTTACGTTTACTTGCATTTATGACCCCGGTTGCATCACCTCGTCGTATTTCTTCTTTCTATTTTTGTCTAAAATTCAACAATTGGGACCTCCTCTCCTTTTTAGCCTACTAAAACAAAGTTTTACCTAACAATTTTTTAATTACACTATGTCAATTCATAGTGTTCATTGTGTTTGATGAAGAGCATTGACCAGTATCCTGGAATAGCGACAGGGTGATTTTAGAATCAGGATTCTCTCAGCTGGTTCCAAGGGATGATGTCGAAATTGGAGAAATAGAGGGGAGAATGCATGGCAGCACCTTTGGTTTTATTCAAATATATTCGTACTAGAGCTCCCCTTCGGAAATTCCGATACAGTGCACGAGGAGCCACCCTGGCGCCAGATGTTTTTACCTTTTCAACCCCAGGACACTCGCCTGTTGCACGTTGAATTTTTCATTCGCTCCCCCCCTTGTTCGGGTGTCCCCCGCGAGAAAAGCCGTATTTCATGCTCCTGGACAGGATTGATTTATTTGCGGAACGAGGGGTTGAAATTTCACGAAATTTCTACGGTAACGTTTATGGCGAAGAATTTTAACTAACGACGAATGAAAAATTTCTTTTCTTTTTTGTTTCAGGTAAGTGCTGCTAATTCTCAATTTACATAGACCGGACAAACGAGATGAAGCAAAATAAATCCTTCGATAAAGTAAGCATTTATAAATTGATTGTAGGGTTGCAAGGAGAATGATTGGTTTCTGGAATATGAGATGCGAATGAAGAGTGTAACGAGAATTTGCAATAAACCTAACATATTCGTTATAAAAAGTACTTTCGTTATTTTTAATTTACGTACGAAAAGAAAATAAATTCGCAAAATCCTAGTTATCGTACATCCGTATCGAGGATCGGGATCAGAAGAGCGTACTGAAGAGTGCTCGTCGAAAGAACTCTGATACTCCGCTTCTTTTTTCCCCTTCTTGTCTATTATTTCTTCTCTTTTTTTTTATCTTCTTCCACTCGAAACTTGGTTCCCTCCTCGATCCACTCGAGGACCGTCTGCGGAGTGTTTGGAGCACGCATTGAAACAGTTTCGCTTTGATCTGCGACGTGTGGAAATTGCGTTTCCTCGATCGTATGCCGCGCGTGCACGCACGTTTCTGCTTTACGTTCAAAGCCTGTTGCGTCGACGAGCAGAAACTATTCTAGAGAGGCTGCCCGCCTGTTTAGGCGAATTTCTAACTTCGATTCCTGATAGATCGACCTGATGTTTATCCGAAATCCCAAACTTTTACGGAGAAAATTCATTTTGGAAGTGTTCATCTTGATTGGTAGAGGAGAGGATACGAATACGAGATAGTTATTTTATTTTTAGATGCACAGAGTCTCACAAAGGGAACTACCCAAGTGTTACACTCACTTATTAATGAAACTTTGCCAGCTTGTAAAGCTCGTCGAGCTGAATACGCCTGTACCCCCTTTTGGGGGTAGACGGCTAATTGTTTAAAAGATATTAACAATTATAGTTAGTTACTCTTTACATTCTGAAGTATGACAAACTCACACATACAACTCGCAATCTAGAGATCCACGGTTCAAATCCTTGGTTCCCAACATTTTTTTTATTTTTTTAATGATAATTTGTCTCTTTTTGAATAACTATTACATAAAAATTACCATTAAAAAAAAAAAAAAAATTGTTCGGAACCAAGGATTTGAACCGAGGACCGTCAGATTGCGAGTCATGGATCCGCTCCGTGGTTATACATATGACTCGCAATCTAAAGGTCCGCGGTTCAAATCCTTGGTCCCCATTTTTTTTTTATTTTTTTTTTTAATAATAATTTGTCTCTTTTTGAATAACTAAAATTCTATATAATTCTAAACTAAAATTCTATATTCTATTTTGTCTAACTTTAATTATTAATATCTTTTAAACAATCAGTCGTCTGCCCACGAAACGGGGTATAGGCGTGTTCAGCTCGACGAGCTCTACAAGCTGGCAAAGTTTCATTAATAAGTGAGTGTAACACTTGGGTAGTTCTCCGTATCAGAATAATCGTAAATAGAAAAATCAGGCATAGAAATTTGGGGAATTTCATGCGGAATGTGTTACATAAATATAAGTATTAAAACTTCTGTTCGTTTCGCTTTTTCTAATTGATGAACAATTCGAGCTAATAGAACTAATAAAACTAAAATAGAACATTAATGATAATTAATTAAACGTAACAGAATGTTAAATATAATAAGGCAAGCTTAATAAAACGTTTGTTAAACAAAATAATTATATCTATCAAGAATGATTGTTAAAATTTTGATGTCTCAAATTCGTTCCTTCTCCTTTATAATACTAAAGCAAAGGATATTCTCGAAGAAGCCCACGAAAGAGAGATTCTCCCCCCAAAAAACGCGTAATAACTCGCGGAATTCCGCAAACAAACGATAAAGTAAAGAAGAAGACGAGCCGGCACGTGCCGCGTTTCCGTGCCAGGTTTACCGAACAGTCGTTTAAACAAAGTTCATTACCTCGGTATCGTCCTGAAGAGCAGCACAAAAGGAGTCGTTTGTTGAGTCACGTCGGTGTTTCGTCTCCCACCTCGGATCATCCTTAGTTCGTAAGAGAGCGGTTCGTTAGGTATTCACATAGAGGGACAGGTATTCACGGTAAGTCGGCAAGACCAGCATTTAATCGTGCTTCAGGGAACAAACGTGGCTGAATAAGGGAAAAATACTTTACAGTAAACGCAAACGCACGGCATAAACACAATCGTTCGTACGTTTCGATATTCATCGACGTTCAACAGTGTGCGAACGAAAGGGTATCGCTACTTCTTCTGCCGAGTGACCCACTGAGAATTTCTTCCTTTTTATATTTTCCGAGGAATTTTGTTGTTTGAAGGAGAAAAATGAGAAATATGGTTCTACGTGGGTCATCATTTTGAAGGTGGTCACTAATGACCCACTGAAAACCGCTTAATGAATTCAGATATTTTACTTTTAACGATTAAGATATACAAGAAATAAACTATGGACGCATATATGGGTTCATAGCAGTGAAAGGGTTAATAATAATTACCTATTGTTACTGTTATGTACCAAAAACTAGAGCTGGATGGACATTTGTAATAAGATTATACAAATGTTCAACTATGACCGTTCGCCTCGAGCTCCTTGCTCGAAATGAAAGACAAAAACTTATTTACTATATGGAACGCTCGTTCGACCTGATGCGCGGTTGAAATTTTGAACTTGTGAAATTGCGGCTGTGTATATGTCAATAAAATTTAATTAGATTTTATTAATTTATTATTATGTATGTAAATTATAATTTATATTTTTATAAATAAATATCTGATTCAATTTTATTCTAATATTAATAAAATTAATATTTTTATAAATAAATATCTGATTCAATTCTATTCTAATATTAATAAAATTAATATTTTTATAAAAATATCAATTATAATTTCCCTAAATTAGTTCGGTAATACTCACGAATGGTAATCCATTATATAACAAAGAGAATTTTATATTAATATTTCGATCCTTGTTAAAAATTAGCCTGATTAAAAATGATATCGTGAGAAGAAGTCGTCACTAGTGACCCATGGAGGATTTTTGATATTGCTTCCATTACTTCATAAATAAATATTATGAATATGTCAATTATAGATACAGAAATTAATTTACAACGAACTCACGTTAATCGTGTTAAGGTTGATTTGCTTCATTAATTAATTTCTTAACGAGCCCCCATTAACTTCACCTTATTTCCCTGCAAATGTTCAACTTCTCGTCAGAGCGATCGGTATCTTCGAAACAGCTGCGAAGTTGAAAACAAGGATATAATATCATGATGAAGTGCTCAAAATTATAATGAAGCTAGCAAGGTGTAATTCAGTGACACGAAGCAACTTTTTATACTTCGAACAGGTTACGAAACGAAAATACAATGTAATTAACAGATTAATTTGGGGGATAATTTTTGAAACTTCATATCCATAATTTATCTTGAAGAGCACCTACTATCGTTGAGGAATTTTTTCGAATCTAAATATCAGACAAACAGAGATCATTTGTTTATAACATACATTGATTTAATAATTCGTAATGGGACACCTCTGTGTTCCTGTTTGTGAATTCACTGTCGAGCCGTATGTAAAATGATCGTCGCATGTATCAAGTATACAAAAACGAATCGAACGAGTGTTCTTGTTTACCGATCGATGCCTGTCGATCGATCAGCCTCGCATTTCACCTGTCGCATTCGTAAACTCAGTCTCCTTCGCGGCCACTGGTTCTTCGGGGTAGTTGAATCACTTCTCGCATGCATAAATTTTCTTCTAAATTTTTCCAAGACCAAAGCAAAAAAACAAAATTAGTAGAAAGCTCCTCTTCTCTATTTTATCTTTTAATCAAAAGAAGTCTGCGTCTGCTTTTTCTATTTTTTCTACTGAATATAGTTCCAAGTAAGTAGAAAAAATCGAACTAATTTTAATCGTTACTTAGGACCAGCAAACCGTCGTAACGAGTCGATTAAATTACAATATTCACCCGATTGCTTGCGCGGAAACGCGTGGCCCATATAGCGGTTCCATCCGCGGCAATTAATTCGAGCGTGCCTTCTTCGGAAGGAGCTGCGTCTCGGCGAGGAAACGTAACCAGCCAAGGGGAATTCTGTCAATGGAATCGAGACCGGGTGCCGCAAGGTGCACCGTGTGTCCGTTTCACCGTCTATCTCCGTCCCTATCGTTCGTTTCTTAGCTACCTTTCCTTGTCCTACCTCTCTCGCCTGGCCAGGTAAGACTCAAGGAAGGCCTTTGGTGAACGGGGAAACACGGCGATGCCCGATTGGACGACCGGCACGCGTACGCACCTGCCACGCATCCTTTTCGAGCCGCCTTTGTCGAGCCGGTCGAGAACGAACGCATACACGCACACGCCGAGCTAACAAAGTTCCGCCCCTTCTCTATAATAGGGATGAAAGAGCGACGGAAACGCGTCCTGCTGAACGAGGACAAAGGGTTGCACGACTATCGCGATTAGTCGCGTGAATTTTTTAATCCACCTCTCAACGCTTATTAACCGGTCGCAGGGAACCGTTAGCTGCTTTCGTTAGCTTGATGAATGGGTACCTTCTTTTTCGGCGTTTTTCGAATTAGCGAGATGATTGATGGAGATTAGGGAGGTTTCAGGGGGTCCGTTTAAGTCGTTATGGAGTTTGGTATGAATTTCCTTAGAGAAGGAAGTTGAAAAATTTTGTTTCTATTTTAACATTTTCCTTTAGAGCAAGGTTTCTTTAATCTTAAAGGAGAACCGTCTGATTTTAAAAGGAACCTTCAAAGACCTTGCTGATTTCTAAGCTCGGTACCTTTCTTGACTTTCTTACCTGTTCGGTGATTTAAAGTCGGAAACAGGTCGACGCTCAGCTGTTCCTCGAAGATACATAGAAAAGTGTTGCGTAGACTTCGTGTTGGACATTTAAATGGCCTTTGGAACCTTCGTATTTTTCTAGGTGTCCATGAAAAGTCGAGACACTGAAGAATCTAAAAATTGTAGATAACAATAATTTTCTCCAATAGCAAATTTGAAGATGCTATTTAAAAAATTGTAATTTTGAGGAAACTTCAAAATACTGTATAAAGTTGAAAATTATTCTTATCCATCAGAAATGTTGATGAATATTATCTAGGTCACCAGGGTAATTTTATTTTCATCAAAAGGCCAAAGGCAAGGGGCAGAGTTCTGAATACCTTTGAAATTACATTTCTTCCTTGAAAAGGTAACAGTGATCCCTTGGGATCCTATCTTTTACCATTCCCTGTGCAGAGATTCCTTACAAAAGGATCCTTCTCGTTCGAAACTATTTAAGGAACCATTACCTTTGACAAACTTACGAAATATCCTTAACTTCAACGTTCTAACCTTCGCATCGGTCTGCCTAATTTAATTGCCGTTTAATGGCCCTGCGTCGGAGATATTAAATTCCACACTGTGTGCATAATTTCAATCGACGATCTTCTCGGTCGTCCTTTTCTTTTTCTCCTCGGTTGTCGTTAAATCCTTCTCGATTTCAAAGAAAATCGCTAGCAGAGGATAGGACGGTTGAAATATTCCTGGATGCAAACCATTCACCTCTGAAACTCGAAGAGGATTTTTTACCATGCACCTGTTCAAGCTAAGAGCATTTTTTGGGGGATGGAAGTCAGGCTCTATCTTCCAGGATCAAACATCTGCCCCGCGTAACAAGTTCAGAGAGAATCTAATTTGTGAATGTTGCAACCTCTTCTGTTAATAAATAAGTTGAAAAAGATGAAAGTTCGCGACTGTTTTTATGGATTATTAAAGGTAAACGTGGCTCGTTTAACGATCCTTTTCACGGTTGCAACTTTTCGTATGAAATTATTACCCTTTAAAAATTACTAAAAAGGAAATCGTCGCCAGCTGTCTCCTTTCTTTTTAAAATATTCTTTGCTGCATTGTTAATTTATTTTTTGAACGTATTTTATCGTTGATTTCAAAAAGCTATCTTTGGACACGATTTCGTGACGATGAATGAAAATAAATGGCCGGTTTCGTGACGGTAGCACGTACCGTTCTTTCCTTTCGCTTCGATCAAGGGAAATCGGCCAATGGACTTTTTAATTACCATGTTTATTGCCGCACCAGCAAATTCTTGGCATCTGTAACGATTTCGACCGCGTGCACCTGATCCACTTTGCCGGCAAAACCACCTATCACTTTATCTCACCTTACGTATCTTCTTTTATTACTTTTATTTTCTTGCAAAATTCTGCTTTACACGGTGTGAATTAAAATCGATAAACGATCAGCCTGTACCTACTTTCAGTAATAATAATTTTCACATTTTAATAAATCTACCTAAAATAATAATAATCGCAAATATTTATTTTTCAATTGCTGCTATGCTTTCAAGTTGAATGCCACTTTTTATAGCAGCCTTCAGCTCAATCTGAAACGACGATAAGGGGGTTTATTCGTGTAACGAGATAATGGGCTTCTTTGTTGCTACCGAAAAGCCGATTACGCCATGATTGTCGGTTAACCGACACCCGTAGAACAGAATTTCCTATTACCATTAACGTAATACTGATACACGATTGAATCGAACGCGCTAATTCTTGTACGAATAATTATTATAAATAAAAAGTTGGTCCTTAATGGGTTAAACGCGACAGCAGCTGCATACGGGCGGTCACCTCTCGCGCAACGATCATTCAGCTGTTACCATAGCGGCTCAACACGATATTCTCTCTGCCATGGTTATGGACAATACCAACAAACACCTGTCTCCTCAGACGGAGAGAATTCTGAATGTCGTCCAGAGAACACCAGTGTCGCGCGAATTTTACGACCGAAGATGCGGGCCTCTTTTTAGGAGCGGTTAACCAATTTAGTTGCTCCTCTGCAATTTCAAACCATTAGAATTTTATTAAAACGATAATCAACACTTACTATCATAACGATGAATCGTAATGAGAGTAAACACGTGTAGCGAGACACCTTGTTTGATTATTAATTTTCGAACGAAGCTCTCAATTTCTTGTGGTATGAAATGGAATTCTTTTTTCTTTTTTCAAAATAGATCTGTGTCTTCTCAGGAAGGCTATCTTGTATCGTTATCCAAAAATATCCGAACATCTGTCGAGATTCGTGTTTACACAATGATCCTAAAACCGAAAGTCTATTAGGGCGATTTCCGATACTTTGGGGAGCTAATTTAGGAGACCACAATTACTTTCGTTATTGATACATTTTTGAATTCCTAGAAGTTGTTCAGTGATATTGAAACGTATATACTGTTTATTTTATCGAAGTGTTCTTTGCTTCTGAGTTGCCAGATGTGAAGATCACAGCCGGTCGTGTGACAGAGAATTGAATGATAATGGAATGATTACGGTACAACGAGGTCAACCTCGTTTAGAGGTTGTCTTCGGTGTCTAAGACCGCGCCGGGGGTCAATCTGCTTCGACAAATTTTTTTATGGTTCCAATACAATCTGAAATTTTTTAATTTATTTTCATTTTCTATGCATTAAGCGAATTTGATAGTTAAAATCTGAGCTCGTTCACGGTAAACAACCCCGCTTCCTGCGTGAACGCCAAAATCCTTCGAACCGGCTCGTGAATCGCTGCCTGTTTCGACGCCAAAGTCGATTCCGCTTTCGAGTTGCGGAACCGTATCTCCGCTTCCTTGCGCGAGGTTACCACATCGGTGCTCCCTTTCTCAGGATGTCGCGTGTTCTGGAGTCGACGTGCTCGGGGAATTTGACCGGCGAAGAAGTTTATACGATTCGCATCTTTCAAAATTAACTATTTTTTACTATAGATGTCCTATCTATATAACATATCCGTTTTGCTTGTTTAAAATTCACAAAATAAACCAAAGTAAATTTCACTTTAAAAAGAAAGCCGTAGAAACTTTCTATTACGTTTGTTAAACAAAACAATTATTGTTAGAAATGTCTCTTCTCTTCTACTTTTATGTCATGAAATTAACTCGAACCTTCAGAAAGTTCTTCTGAAAGAATTATACAAATTTTCAATTGAGAAGAATAAAAGTGTTGTTCAAAGTTTATACATCCCTTCTCCCGTGAAATCTCGCGAATCTACCGATTTGCATTTCGCTCCTCCCGTTCCTCGTTCCTTGAATGGACAAACACGGCGTACCGTTTCCTCAAGGGCTTCCTAATTGCCTGTCCAGCAGAAAGGGCGCATTCGACCCTCCCGTCTGGCAGGCCGTCTGTCTTCCCGAAATAAGAACCGCGGTAAAAGATTGTATTTTCGGTCAATGCCTCTGTCAGATGTGCTCTCCCCGTGAAGGGGGCGGCAGACTTGGAATGGATTGCAAGAAGGGGTGTCCTATAAAACTGGGGTTCTCATTTCACCGTTTCATCGACTCCCCATTCAGTCGCGTCTTCTACAGAAGTGCCATACAATATGGAATAATGTTTCTTGTACACTTTAGGAACTCGTTAATTTTTAAAATATTCCTCAATGGTGAACCATAAAATTATATTTTACCGTCGCTTAAAAGTAGTTGGATCGATTGGAATAAGTAGACAGGTGACACAGCAGCTTCCTCGTAAATTACACGTATGTACATTATTTTCAATGAGCACCGTATTATCGTATGTAACACGAGACATTATAAATTAATTTTCACTCGAATATTGGTCATTAAAATTCACTTTTGATGAAAGTGCAGACTTCTGAGGTCGCCATTATTTTCTGCCATCCAAAGGGTTAATCGATGATAAACGTATGTTGAAATAAAAAGGGAACCAGGTTGGCAACCGTTCCGAGGATCCCTTCGTCCATCCCTTCTTTGGCCCCATAGTAATCCGAGCCGACAATACACTTCTAAAATGCCTGCGTCTTCTATATTTTCATGGGGGGTGCGCACGCGCCAGTCTCTCCGACTTCCTGCCATCCGCCGCTCGTTTCCGCTATTCCACATTATACTATATGCACGTATCCCCGCCAGCGTCGGGGTAACCCCATAGGAAACGCATCTGCACACTCCTCCACGTCTACGGGGCACCGTGAGCTCGTAACCTCGCGGCAGACAGATGCTGGACCCTTTTTGGATCCGAAATTGCACACCTTTGCCACTCGATGTCCTTTCATTTTTCATTATGAAAATTTGCCAAGATTTTATTGCAATTCGATTTTATACTTGTCACTAAGAAAATCTGTCAAAATTTTTCACTTTTCAATTCAGAAAATCTACGAAAATTTTATTGCATTTGATTTTTCATTTTTCATATTTAGCATGTAGGTACTAAGAATGCATATATTATCGGCAATGTATGAAAAGCAAGTATTGTATAAATAATAGAATTAAACATTCAGAGTCATTTTTTGTTTTTAGACTCTTTTTCTTTCAGTGATCATTGAAAGGATTAAAGGTAAGGTGTAATTATCTAATTGATCCCAAGGATTCACCGTTATACTCTGTTGGAGGCATTGTGTAATTTCTAATTAGACTAGGTGGTTCTATAAGATCGTTATATCACGTTCACACGATAGTGTTGCGCGATATCGCCAAGTATAATTGCAATCGCGTATCGAACCGCTGCACACGTTCGTTTCACGCATGCTTAATTGGCACCGCGTTCCTCGCCCGACCAGCTGGTTTACGCGTTTCTAAAGGACGTTCTCGATGTTTCAATGCTAATAGATTGCGATAAGGGATAAATTAGAAACGAGTAGATCGTGCCTGCTTTCTTAGAACCTACAATTTCCTTAATGAAACAACTCATTTAATTATCAGGAATAGAGAATATTAACGCCTATCGAAATTTTAAATAACGTAATTAATCGTCCTTTTATCCCCGGCACAATATATTATTCATTAATTAATCGTACCGGGTTTGGCGAGCAAACAACCGAGTCGCGTCTCCTCGATTTACGAGTTTCGTAGTTGCCGGTGCTCGTGAAATAGCCGGAATCTCCGAAATTACAGGCAACCAGGGAACAAACCCTTCGTTTAAGCGGCTCTTTTGGCTCATTTGCCAGCTTCC